ATTTGCTGCCTTCATTAATCGAAGTTCTGTCAATGTTATTAAAATTCCGTAAAAATATTAAATAACCCTAATTTTGACACGTTCTCATACATTTTATAACATTTTATAACAAATATGAATTTATATGTCAGGATTTAGTAGTACTCGTCAATTAAATAACATTATCTGCAAAGAGTCGTTTATTCGGTATCTTCGTGATTGGTCTGTTGCCCATTTGTGAAATAGGCCTATGTTCGTATTACGTCAGTATGAACATAGTTTTTTACAGGGTGCATTTCATCGTGTGAAATTGTTGGTTAGTCCATTGCGGATTCTGTGCGCAAGGACTCCGAATACCGCTGAACGTTTGACCAATGAGCGATCGCACTCAGTCATTTTGATAGAGGGCGGTATTCACAGGCACCATGCATGAAATAGACAGCTGCCTTTTAAATTTTTGGATAGTTGTAGTTGTGTAACTACGGGATGGAGTAGGGGGCACGTGCCCCCCCCCATTCGAAATCTGTGTATTTTCTCTGTCGTAATGCAACTGCAACCTATTTTCTTGTGGAGTCCCTCTGAAAAAATATTTTTTTACCCCCGGTGCCCCACCCCGGAAATTTGCCCCTATAGTCACGCCACTGGGTGTGCTGGCACAACGAGCCGGAAGAGTTTAGACGTATCAAATGTCACTGAGATTTCTTCATGGTGACAAGATGGGGTTGGGAATATTTACTGTACTTCAAACTTACAAGGACACTCACATACTAGGTTGAAGATTGTTTACTGCAATACAAGATTCACAATAGTGCGCCTCCAAGAGTTTGCGACGCGTTGACCGATTACAGTACGCGAAATCTGTCGACCCAATGCAAGTTTGGAAAGGGTCGACAGATTTCGTACGTTGTGATTGGTCAACGCATTGCAAACTCTTGGAGGCGCACTATTGTGAATCGCCCGTATTGGAAACAAGCTTTGGACAAACACAGTATGTTAAATGAGGACAGACTTTGAAAACGTTGCTCTTCTTTCTTCAGAAGTCTTGAGACTTCCCAGACTTTCGTGAAAATCACAGTTAAATTTCTTGCTACGATGTATTGTTTTATTTGATTGCCGACCCTATTATCTCTGAAACGAACACTGAGCAAGTAACGTGGATATACAAACTGCCGGGCGACAGCACGACCAGACGGTCGGTAAGTCTGACAGCCGGATAGCCGCATGACCGCTTCGGAAGCTGGATACACGGATGCTAGATAGTGAACTTTGCAGCTATAGGTCAAGGGCGGATTAAATTTCTTTTTGAAAAATAATGACAGAAAGTTGATGGGGGAATTGCATTTACTCTCCTTCCCAAAAGTGTGTGATAGCCCTCAAGTGTGGACTTACACCTTAGTAAGACTTTGAAAGGTTACATTATTAAAAAAAAAAACAATCGAATTTTCTCCTTTTCTCCCCCAAAGTTTGCTCTCTCACAAATTTAGGTCAAATTCGATCAAAGACCATAATTGACCATAGTTCGGCTAACTCTGATCGAACGCGCCCTAGTCCACGGTAGTTGGACTAGTCGAGAGTCAACTATTCCCGACCACCCTATCAATGTTGGTTGCATCGTTGATTGCCATAAACTGGTTTAAATAGCACAGTGGAGACAAGACAAGTTACGCGAAAAATGTCGAAAAAACAGTATTTCGCTAGTAAACAACCATTTTCACTTTTATTTTTTGCCATTTTGCCCTTGCTGTGGCCAACTTCTCTCCCTTCCAATCTAATGACCCGACAACGGTTGACTACAGGGTCGTTTGAACTTCAGCTTAGCTGCACATGGGCTAGGTGCGTCACGAATCGACAAATAGTTAATTAGTGATTGAACCTGCCTTAGTTTTCAATCCGCCATTACGTTTGGTTATATAAGGGTGCAGTAATTCAAGTGAGAATTTCTGGCCAGCTCACTTGGATTAAAAGTGCCCCCCACAGTATCTTTTGAAAAAGGAGATTGTTTGGCCCCCAAATGGTGAGATTGTGTAAATCGTTGCCCGGATCAACTCCCTGGGTCTTTGAGCTTTCGTATGAGAGCAGAATGGCTAAAAACTATGGTTGAAAAATTTCCTAAGTGCCTGAGAAAGTTGAGGGTTGCCACTTGAAAAATGGCTGCAATCGGACTTCGGAAAAATCACTTTTCGGGGGGTGATTTTGTTTTATGGGAATAATTAAAAATGTAATGTGTTAACCCACAAAAAAATTAAAAGAAGTTTAAAAAGTAGGGACCAGACAACAATTTCATTTGTATTTGGGAAATCTCAGGGATGTTGGTATGCATGTTATTGGGCCCTGAACAGTGCTGATTTTACACTGTTTTCAATAGGGCTTGAATTAGTGGACTACACCGATAAACATACAACTTCCTCCATGTCTTAAGAACTTTCTAAAACCGAATGTACAGATATTTGTAGGTCATGTGCCGTTATCCAGTACTCAACTTCGTCTCCGTCTCAGGCTTCGTTCCCAAAACCAATCCCCGATGGTGGGCCTGAAGCGTTTAAATTACATTGGATTACTGTAATTTTTGGCTTTCTTGCATCTTATTTGATGTTCTGTGGCACTATTAGACTGAATACTGCGCTTACAGGTTCAAAGTCAGCTAGTAAAAAAACAGTTGAAGCCTGAGACGGAGCCGAAGTTGAGTATTGGAAAACGGCCATGGTTTGAATACGGACGATTTACAATAGTGTGCCACCAAGAATTTGCAACACGTTGGCCAATCATAACGCGCGAATTTGTCAACCTTTTCCAAACGCGCACTGGGTCGACAAATTTCGCGCATTGTGACTGACCAACGCGTTGCAAACTCTTGGCGGCGCACTATTGTGAAACGGCCGTATTGGAACAATCCTTATTATAAACAGGTAGAGAGTGTAGAGTTTCACCAACCTTTACCCACCTGCACCTACCACCTAATAACAGGTTATTATTTTTTTGTGGTTAATACATCTGTAACGTCAGTGCTCAAAATGCTGCAGCCGCGTGCAGCTAAAAGTATTTGAAGTCCTTGTACTCCAGTCCTCCCACCTGGTTTGCTGTGTTTGTTTAGGATGTTTTCCTTTTCAGCTCTGCACGTTGAAAAACCCGTTTACGAATCAAAGTCCTGAACTCAGAGAGGTAGCTCCCTTCCGCAAACAGTGAGTGATACCGACCTTGTTTTTATAGTATTAGGAATTGATAAAGACGACCCAAGGTCTTGCTGTGGTGGAATGGATTGGATGTCTGCGACAGTCGCATTGTTGGCGGAACGGAGCCCGGACGCGATGACGTCACACGACACTTCCGTTTGTCTCCACGTTCCAGGTACCGGTATTATTACACTTAACGTCCTTTCCAATCGGTCCTTAGCAATGTAGCCTACCTGCGATTACATCTAATGTCTGGTAAAATCGATTGGTTGAAAAAGACGGAATCGCACTGAAACTTTCTATACTCTTTTGTAATTAAGGATAATAGGTCGAAAGGTTTTAAAGCCAACGCAAGCAATTTGTTGTTTAAAAAAGTGCTGATAACCTGCAGACAATTTTATGTTTGTTCCACTAGCAGCAGAGAAGTTCTCAATTGATTTTCTAACGGTTAACTAAGTTATTATGTAGAAATGCTACAAGCTGAACAAAAAAATCAAATGTTCAACTAGCAGCTGCGAAAACTCCTAACATTTAATGTTGCACGGCTATTTTAATCAACATTTTCAGTTCGAGCGATGGCTTTTCGTTTTTTGTTGTTGTCTTTAATAACCGAATAATCACATAATTATGTCTTGAAAAATAATAGAGAGACATTGTTCTTGTGTTCTGGTGCTATCACGGGCATGACGACCATTGCTATTTATAAACCATAATACGTTTATTACTTCATAACAGACGGACATCTTAGCTGTCACTGTTCCCGCTCTCCCGCTTGTATGAGAGACTTCTTGTCGCCGGATGCCAGCGGTACTTCGAAGATGTTCGATTCTATTCGGTATCAGCTGATTCATCTATGACGTAGCAAGCCTGGTTTTTCCCCTGCCCTTTACGTTCCCGTGGAATGTTGTTAAACGGTTGGTTCCAAATGCTACACAAAACTTCAAGAGGCATTGAGGGCCGAAAAGGCAGATCGGCTGGGATAGGGAGAAGTGGTAAATTACATTTAGAAGTCAGGGATGATGTCACAACTACATTCTCATTTAGGCTTAGTCAGCACCTTGACCCCACTTCCAGTCAAGGAGAATAATTGATGATTACTCATCGTCATTTCAACAAAATTTAGAATTGACAAAATAGTTGAGGACACAAAATAAAATAGTTATCATTCCATCTGAAGCCAAACGAATTTTAAAAGTTAGGTGTTAATATGATAACAATGAAGAGATTATGACAGTATATAAGATGGCAAATTAATCATTTTTATTCATTTCAACAACCTTTCACACGTAAAGTCAACACCATTTTCATTCATTGTTAAATGCTTCAAATTTCAACCGATATAGGTTTTCATTTTCTATGACAATTCCCTCCTTTTCTTATTAACATTTTACCATTGTCTAACTCACTGGGTGAGTAAATTGTGAAAATATTTGTCCTGAACAATTCGCATGATTCACGCCTTTCATTCCGACACCAGACTGTTCAACTGAGGTATTGATTCGGAGAGTTCTTATTGTCCTTCCATTGATCGACAAAATGATATAGGTAGTTAATCTGGCTTGTGCAAGATCACTACGACTTCAGCTATTCAAGGCTATAGCCATGACGTCATAGTTCCATCATCGCACAGGCGTTATTCAATGACGAAACACCTAAAACATGTACATTTTTCTTTGATTCATCATTCTGTGATTGTGAGCACGTTTTTTGATCTGCACTTGATCTTTGCAAAAAATTGAGAACCATTTTCCTTAAACTACCCTTGCCAGATTTCCCTCCTATTTTGCCGTCAGTTTGCAAATCTGACTGACCGACTTTTGCAGTTGCTACACTTTACATCGCATGCTTTAATGCAATGTTTTGCATTAACTCTGTCACGTATAACTACAAAACCGTTACAGTGTGATTGCACATAGCAAAAAAGGGTCAATTAATTGACATTTGTTTTCTCATCTTTCATTAACAAAATGGTGTTCCTAATGGAATGTTCCAAAACAATTATTGAGGGAAAACAGTTTGCACGAATAATAAAATCTGTACAAAGCTGAATAAGATGCGCATGCATCGGACAAACAATGTGCAAAGCAGTATATAAAAAAACTGATACAAATAAACAGAAATTACAAAGAAGCAAACAAGCGGATATTACAAATTATTTTTTTTGTGAAAAGTACTTTTTATTTCAATTCATCTTTTGCATTGAGGATGAACAAAACCTGTCTATGAAATAAATAAATAAATAAGTTAAGCTCAAATAAATTACACGGAGACTTATATACACTTTTTGGTATAAACAAATGCTACAAAGGGGAGGCAGAATTAGAAAAAAAATGTACATAAGGCGTAGGAAGAATACTTGACGGAATGGACCCATTTATCTGAAGATCGAGTATATCAGTTAAACACCCTCAGATCAAAATAAAAGGTTAAGTAGTTGATTCATTAATTTGATAAAGAATACATAAATGCTAGACAGAGATGGAGCACTAGCTGGTACACTTTCTGAAGTTGCTGCATTACCGCAACAAAATGGATGTTTGAGGGATTTTCCTGCAGGCGTTTCCAAATAATGGATGTCCATATATCTATACAAAGTAGATTTATTCAGTGCCATGATGGGGACAGTACGCTATGTGCACCGGACACCAACGCCATGGAGATCCATAGCTTTGTAAAACACTAATCGTTTGCCATTGTGGTCAGTCAACTGTTTGGCAAGTACTTTGTGCAGGGCAAATTTCTGTTTTTGTCAGCTCAAGAATTCGGCTTCCTACCCAAGTTGGTTCATATTACGTACCGGTATTAAGCCTCTTACATGGCACTTGACTTTGCGAAACACTGCAGACATCAACTGCTAATTAACACACTGATATTCAGTTCACCAAACTCTAGTATAATTAAAATCAGTCATCAAAATACTATCAAATATTTGGGCTATTGCACTGATTTCCGTCATGAGTACATATTAAAAACAGCAAACTGCAGTGGTTAAAAATATCGCTACATTTAACATATATAACTTTTTAAATTACAATTTCCAGAGAGACGTATTCCAAGTTGATGAGGGGATCAGCCCACCCGAAATCTAAATATAGATCAACAGCGGGTGGGATTGTATATCAAAATCACATTTCGGGCCGAGCAAATGCATGAAAATATTCCTACATTTCTTAAACATTCACCTTTAACTCACAGTCTCATAGAAAAATATATCAGTCGTTGTAATAGTGTCTTTGTTGGTGTTGGGGCAACAATAACGTTTGAAACTCACAAGTTAAAAGATGTAGAATGAAAATAACTCCCCATGCTTCATTCCAAGTTACCTGGAATATGAAAACAGATTTGTATAAAAGGTATCTCCAAAATATATAAATCTCTTCAATAATAAATAATATTTACAACCCTTACACGATTAAACAATAGATTTTCACAATACCTCTAGAATGTCACATTATGACACCGCAATGATCAAGTACAATGCATGGTTTGCAAAAATAGTACTTGCATAGTTTCATTCTGTGAATGTTTCTTAGAGTGAGGTATTTGCAGTTTTCAGAAGAGCTACCTTAAGCTGGAAACACACCCATTAAAACAAAGTCAGTCCGGCGACAGAAAAAAATCCTACATTCTCTTTTTAAATTGGAATGATAATTGAATGATTGAATTTAAATGGCAGACAGTTGTAATCTTCTTCAAGCTGCATAAAGTTGGCTTAATCCTGGTTTTCTGCTTGATGAATGGCTGTGGGAGATTTTCGAAGAATTTACCGTATTGAAGGATTAAGGCCTCATGTTCTCAGGAAAATCCAATAAAATCCCACAGCCACTCAACAACAGCTACATTCTGAAGCATTTTCAACAGGCTGATGTTACCAGATGAGGTCTCTACTCTGTGTGATGCTCTGCTAAGGTACGGTTTACATCCTCATCAAAGGAGTCCAAGTATTGCGTCAGGAATTGAACTCTCGGGCAACATCGGTCGAGCTGGAACGCTCACTCCCAGCTCGACCTTATCTCGTGAAAGATGACCGGTGCACGCCAAAATAGATGGCTCAAACACTCACAGGGCCTCCGCGCCGCACGCTTGTTGATACCATGGGTTCCCCCTTCAGCGCTCACACAGTAGGCTTGACGCAATCACTCTCCATAGCAGACCCATCTGCAGACCCGATGTTGCCCAGAATATCGAAGTTGAGCTGTTTAACGTACTCATTGATCCGATGGAGTACCGTATAATCTCGTACACTCCTCAAAATCTCCCTGTTCACTGGCTCGAAGAAGACGCCCTGCACTTCTTCTATTTGACTCTCACCCTGAAGCCCATTTGAACAAATCTAAGCAAGTACAAAAAGAGATAGACAGAGAGGCATAACAGTAAGTCAGAGGAAAGTTTGCGTGTGCTAGAAGTACAACTGCATCCAAAAATCCAATGTTTATTTGGCTCTGCACTGTTGTGTAAATCTGATGCCGTCGGCAGGACAAAAGTTCAAGTTCAGTAAGTTATTGAACCCGCTTTGGTAACCAAAACCACTATCGCAATCGTGGTAACTCAACTCCATTAATAGTTGTGACCTTCAGACATTGCGGTATAGTACACGCTGACCGTGTATCAATAAGGAATAACCATTTTGGTAATCATCTAGCCGGATATATTTCGTTGTAAAGTGATAGTACTCTAACTCGAATTCCCTTTCACCCGTGCACACCCCGCCATGACTCGGTACGGTCTGACCACTGTAGTTTCTCTATCAGAGTAGGAGTCGCAGCGACACATTATTCCATCTCCCGCTTCATGCGGTAAATTCGACAACCGCCGAGAGGCTTTTTTTAATACCAAGAGCGGTTTTTAGGTTGTCCTTGCAACTTGCAAGCCGCAATGTCCCCCCGGCGAGAGAATGAAAATACATCGTGGGTGGACGAAATAGGCTAAGAAGCAGCTTCCTTATATGGGAACCGCATGTATGAATGGCCGCCAATAACATCCGCCTGTTGTATTTCTGTTGCCTGGTGACTTCTCTCGTTTGTGTGTCTGTCGTGTTCTCCGTCGTAGAAAAACATGTGGGAGATTTTAAGAGAATTCTAAATTTGGGGCTACTGAATTAAGGCTGGTGATTGTGTTGCAACAGGTGGATAATGAGCCTAATCGAGTTTTGTGCCAATCCAACTGTGCTGCCCGATTTATGGTCGTATTTAAACGCCATCCGATTTGAACTTTCGAACGCCGGCGTTTCCTCTTCAAAACCGAACCAGGAAACAGTTCGCCGGTTTATCTCCCCCCCTCTCTCCCCCTGTCTCTGAATCCAAGTTGAGAAAAATGAAAAAAAAAATTGAACTCACCAATTCGCGGGTTCCCTGCAGCACTTTGCCTAGTAGGCGGTTCATATTTTTAAACTCGCCCCCGAAATTACGACTGCCGTTGTGTTGCTCTTCATCTTTCATTACACCAACCATCGCTTTCTTGAAGCCATCCAGGATGAAGTAGTGAGTAGCTAAACGGTCAGCTCCACATAAGCCCGGTGTACTCAAGGTGGTAATATCGGGTAGTGAGACTTCCATCAGCGGGTACAACGGCTCCCCAAACCTCTCTTCCTCCTGTTGATGAGAGATCAAATAAAAATTAGTAAGCTCATTAAAAGTCGGTCTGCAGGAACACGGTCTCTTCGTTACAGACAGGTTTTTGATGACGGCAAAACATAGAGACCAAGGTCTCCGAAACTGATTGCAAAATATACTCTTATTTGCGCAACGTAGATGTTAATCTTTTCTTTTGTTTTTCACCGGGCAGTTTTTCAACTGCTTTAACGGGTCAACTTTCAACCCTGGGAGAGGGCGGTCGACAGTTATAGTCCTACTCGGATGCGTGGTCAACCCCGAGCACAAAAGAGAAAGGCTCATTCATGTGACGAGAACTGACAATCCAACGATTCACAAAGACAGGATATCCTACAACGGTACCGTCCAATGATAGTGATAAATTCTATTGTTCACAGCGAGTGCTAACTAAGACAAACTACAACGAGGATAAACTCCATCAAACATTTCATTTCCATCGAGTTATTCGAATACGCCGACACGGTGAAAGAAATCTGAACTCAACGATAGAAACGTGTTGTCACATAATGACCTTTGATTACAATGGTCGCAGGGTATGATTATTTTGTGCTAGAATAGACCTTGAAATCAACAACTATTGGTTTAAATTACATCATCTATGATCGAATTCGTTGAGATTGATTCCTTTGATCGAAAAAGTGCATGGTAATTCAAGTAATACACACCGTGTGCCATCGCCCCTGACTGAGAAGTGCACAAATTTTTCTTTGGCGGGCACAACAATGAAAGCTTTTCTTCGACTCGGGGTGGGAGGCTGCGCAGTGCGGAGCGTTACTTACATATCGCTTGAAAACTGACGATGATTTTCTGACCAAGCAGCTTGTATAAATGGAGAGAATGTCGTAAGTGGTCTGGACGTTGGAGGTAGACGTGTACGTTGATGTACCCGTGGGTTCACATGGCACCTGGAAGGTGCTGGCTTCCACACTCGTGGTAGGGTCGAACGTCGAGATAACAACGGTACTCACTGGTGAGGATTTGACGCTGGTGGCACATAGCAACGACATGACGCTTAACAGACCTGTTTTAAGTGAAGAAAATCGCGCCTTAACAAGCACCCTCAACAATGAAAAACATTCTGATGAACATTTAAGAACTCGCAACAATACTTTTTCATTTTTAAAAGACGATCGCATTAAGGGTGCGCCGAGCATACAGAAGTAAGGGTACTGTTCTTTTTGTTATTATTTAGTAATTTCGCCCATGCTTTACAGGTATAACCTGCAAAAGATCTTTTGTTGTTCGGCACGTGTTTACATTCCAGAGAATATTTGGAGCGTATAGTATTCAGGAAGGAAAGGCGAATGGGTGACCCCTCTCGTCTGCCTTCCTGAAATACATCATATTTGACACAAGGAATTTGTTTGCAGACATGCACTGCTATCATTACTTTTTCAAAAAACAAAACAAAACAAGCGACAGGTATCTTTGCACATAGCATTTCAATGGAATGAAGCATCTTAAACAGTTTCTACAATACACGTGCTCATGAGGAACACTCACCGAAAAATGTTTCTGATAGCCCAGAAGTTACGATCGTGGCCATTGCTAATGAAGCGGTAGATTCAAGCACTGCTGCTGAATTTGTTAGTTTCCACTCTGAGTAACTTTCCCGAGGTGGTAGCCTCCTTGTTATCGTGAATCGGTTGTGTTCTAGTCGAGTGACTGTCTCGCAAAACGGGACTGGCTGGTGATGAAGATGGAATTGCAACGCGGTTTTGACAAGCTGGGTTCGAGATCGACTTCTGAAGCTGCTGCACTTGTTACAGCCTTTTTATACATATGCCATTCCCCCCGAAGAGGGCGTCGGGCTCGACGAACTTCGAAGTAGCTGATGAGTCATCGTCCGCCCTCACTTGGTTACAGTAATGTGGCGACATCGGCCGGAACGCGAACGGCTTTTTTTTCTCTGTGTACTGTTGGCTTCCGTTCGTCACGTCGGTGACCGGGACCGTAGTTTCCCGTACTGTCGCGCCGTCTGTCTGTGGCATGCGCACGGGTATTGGGAAGTCATCGGATGTGGTAAAGGTTGATGTCATTGATAACACGGCACGAGCTGCCGAATGAACACATTCGCTGACGTCTCCTCGTGCACAGATTAGTATTGCTTCACATGCACAGTGCAAGCACGTGCCGTGGTTGTCGAGTGTTCCGGGGTCAAGTTGTGTCAAACTATCAAATCGCGTGGCGTGCTACCGGCCGATTGAGGAAATAGTTCAGTTGTTGATTTGTTTATGTTTGTTAATCAGCGCAAAGTTGTTGAACTTTGTAGTAGCAACGACTGCAATCCTGGCCGGTACTACCACTTTGGGGGAAAACAGTGTGGTTACGACTCAAAATAATATAGTGGCGGTAAAACCACACTTGAAATGATATCTACTACGAACTCATGTTAACATTGCCATATAACACGAACAGGAGTAGAGCCAACATTTATGTTTACCTATAACTGCCGGGTCATTTCACTCTTTTCTTTTGCTTATGTCACAATTAGCTCGCTATGCCTTTTTCGCTAGAATATATGTATTAGCCTGTTGTAAGCATCGCTCGTGTCATCTTCTTATTCCTATAACTTATAAGTCTTCGATGGATCTTATCGTAGTTTGAATGGACTTATACTGTAAGTTACTTCCAACCGTTCACGGATTGGCTGGTATTTTACAGTGAGCCCTGACTCGTTTCACTCTGCAATTCACGAGCGTTCCCCTTCAAACCAATGTTGACGACGGAGGGGCTTTAACGAAGATAGCGATAATTTCGATGTCGCACAAAACGATGATAATGTGTAGGCTACCGGCGGTTGTTTAATTCCATTGGATTTGATATTCCCTCCAGTATTTCCATGCAGAAATGCTGCATGGACATTAAGCTCGTCCCCACCGTCATGCTGACGAGGGAATACGATCCCAGGCTTCGGGTCAGATCCTGGCACACCTGTTCTTAACCCATCTCCCCCTCCCAGTCTCCCTCTATGACTCTACCCATAAGAATGAAAAAAGTTACAGGAACCATCATAATCAGAGTAACATCATAATTTCTCCTGGATCCGCCCGCGTCCCATCCTTCTTTCTTCCCACGCAAAATCCGTTTCCTTTTTCTCCAAATAGATGGTGGTATCTAACCGAATTGTATTGACCTATAAATTAACTAAAACAAATATTTGCAGAAACGCAGTCCTGTTTATTTCACTTACAATGACAGCGCAAGCAATAATTTATTTCACAATATATGTAAAAAATCTGGTTAAGCGATAAATAAATCTATATTAATTTTGCGTTATGGATGGAATCATGTCTTCTTCACATGCATGTCATCAGCAGTTTCTCATTATTGCAATTCATCATCATAAAAAATATTACATACTTATCACAACGTTAATACTGGAAATTCAATGAAGCGATTTACTTCCGATAAATTGATCATAATTAATTATAAATTGATATACTACATAATTCTGTAAAAAAGTAAATAAATTTGCCAAATCTTAAATACTGTCAACTTTATCAAATTCATTTAAGTGATTTAGAATAAGTGCTTCTAGACTGGAGTGACCCACTATTGCAACTCAAAATCATTTTGATTGTCATTTCTGAATTCACACCTTTTTAATTTTCAGCGTACTTGTTAAGTATTTGCGTTTTTGTGGGGTAGCACAACATTAACTGATATCCCTGGAGCCAAAATTTAAGGTGATAAAGTCACAACCGACACTTTCGTCTTTGTTTTTCATAAAAATAAATATTAACATCATGAGAGACAAGCAGAGTTTGTTCAAAATATCATAAATATATAGCTCATCAGTAAAGAAAATATACAAAGCTTTCGTCATAATAAATTATTAAGTATTTCGCCACGCACTGACACAATCGGCATGTTGATTTTATATACACAAAACGTGTGAAAAATATAGTACTGCCATGGCTCAATAAAGTACAAAATATTCCTAGACACAATCAATCCTAAAAATAAGCCATTAGCACTGATAAGTACAAATCCTTCCCCCCCCAAAAAAAAAGTTCTCAAAAATAGAAAACGAGTCTATCGTGGGATAAGTATCGGTATTAACTTGTAACTCTACTCTGGATCTTTTGCACTGCACACTTGTTTTCTCTTTAATTAAACCCTCCCACAAATAATGAACAACAAAGCCTGTTGTAATTTCAGCTGGACGGGCTTCTGTGCTGGTTATACTTTCCGAGTAAACTGTGAAATTCCATCCACAAATTTGTGGTCATTAAAAAGTGGTTAAGATGGCGGAAATTGACACCGTACCGGAAGAAACATTGACATGTCGTCAGGTCGCAGGGACTGCCCCTGACAAACACGTGGGACGTGCTTCATGACCCTGTCACGTCTGTTCAAGATGGGCTAACAAGTTTAGCAACAAAATTCAAGTTTAGTAAGGATAAATTCGCAGGGAATTTTACATCTACGCAGTCTCGATACTCCACGTAAGCGTGTATCTACTTGGTTTTTGTTTTGTCATGATAATTTTGTACAGTCTACATTGGGATACACTTGACCAAGTTGCAAATGATAAACCACTTCCACGTAGATCATGATAGAAAAACAACAAAACCGATTTTCCAAGATTTTTAATTTTCCAATTTTTTTTCCAAAATTTTGACCAAAGCAACTTAATAGCAACAACATATCCCCGAACTGCTTAAGCTTATTTAATGTTTGGACGGAACCCTATTGCTTTTTGACACTTTCTGGAAAAATCAATCGTCAGCCAGCCATGTAATAACTTGTGCTGCGTCCAAAAGTCTTGACTGCGGATGGCGCCACTGGACACTTCAGTACTGAAAGCCGTATATTATAGCCAAGACTTCTGGACGAAAGACAGCGCCATATTGCACGAACGGAAGTTCTCCAAGACTACGTGAGCAGGTTGCGTTGGTGTAGAATCTCGGCAAATGGTCTCTTCCATTTATGAGTTGATTAGCACGGTGGAGAAGTAAAGCCAACCCGAGTACTGTCTCAAGAAGTAGAGCACAGTGTAGTCCCTAATTATGGTTTCTTCGTTATAACTCTGAGCTGCGGGCCATGGGACATCCGTGGACTCGTCTACCCAACTTTGACCTTGGAGTTCAGTGTAGCATATCTAAAAATAAGGGGGGAAATAGACTATCAAGATTAAAAGCCCAAACCAGAAATTTTGATCTCGCCAACAGAAAGAAATTAATTTCACACAAACATGGCTTTGTAATCGATCTCTACATTAAAAAAGGGAGAAAACCACGGAGACAACACGGGTGCAGTATGCAGCATGCTTGTACTCACCATATCTTGGAAAGCTTGTGTAACAATTCTCAGCGATTCCTCCAAGCTACCGAAATTGATAAATTGAGTGCCAGGGTATTTGTTTTCGTCGTTGATGACAACCTCCAGGGGCCTCTTGAAAGCTTTCAGGATATTGTAATGTGTGGCCATCAAGTCACCTGTTGCTCCAATATCTGGCATACACCAGATTTTAGGCAGATCACTTTGATGGTCGCTCAAGGCAAGAGGTCCTGTCCTCTCCTCCTACAATTGTTCCAAAAAGAGGGAAAGTCCACGATCCTGTAAATCTGAAATACTCCGGATTCGCAATGCATAGCTATCCGTCACAGTTGGTCTGCATTCTCTCCAAAAGGCAGAAAAATCAATGCAGAATTCGTCTGGCTACAACCTATGAACAACCCTTGCCAATATTAGGATGTCAGGCAACCACTCACCACACTATAAAATGAAATGCAAGTCCCTGCATAGAAATCCCACTATCATACAAATCCTGGTATCAGGAAAGCGCACCAACTTCCGTAAAGTTTCCACGTGTAACAGCTTCTGCTCTTTCGAAATCAAGGATCATTGTATATCCACAGCGACTGTTCGATAAAATGCGGCATCTGGACAACAAAAATGCATTTATTTTATGCTTAATGGAGCCAGACAATTATGCCCAAACAATAGTATCTATATTTTGGGCGGAGCAACCATGATCAGAAACATAGAGAACGCTTACATATATCTGGAAAAAATCTGTACACTTGTCCCTGAAGTTCTCCGTCAGCTCAGAAAGCATGCTGTAGGTGGTGACTGCGGGCTGTGAAGGTCCACAAGTTACGGAAATATTGGTAGCGCCGCAGTTGCTAACGGGTGCACAAAAAACGACACCAGCACACAGCAGTAAGACTGCACTTATCATACCTGTTTGAAGTAAAGAGTGGTTTTAGCATGCGGCTATGTGTATTTATCTCTGAAATCTCGACTGTAGGGCATGAATATTTTCTTCCAGAAAGTCCCCACATAGAAACCAATATAGTCAATATTTGACTGGGGAAGAAGGGGAAGAGGGCGTGCCCTTTTCCGCATCTCGTATAGTTCGGCCAAGTCGTTTTGTGTGAGAAAATAGTAAGATCCTTGAATACCTGATGGCCAGGTGTCATTATGCAACGGCTCAGAGGGAATAGGGCAAACTTACCGAAATACGGTTCTGCCATCCCGAAGTCGAACTTGGTACCACGGTAGAGGACACGGAGTAGAAAGTTATCAAGGCACTGGATAGCTGATAGGTAACTTCTGCCTGAAGTATTAGAGCCGCTGCCTGGTTGGTCAAAATGGATACCAAGATTGTAGATTGTCTGAATAACAAGCGAATAACGTGTTTTCTAATTAAGCTGTTGACAGGCGGCGCTTTGATGGGAGAGCCACGTTTGGGAATAAGTTTTTTTAAGTCAGGTTCGTCCCAACCGCCCATATTTATACCTTTATCTGTCGCTGCTCTTCCTGTTCTCTTCTCGAACCATGCGGAGCACGGAGAGAGTTCGGGCTGTCCCGAAATAGGTATGAGTCATCGCACTCCGCTTTGTGCAAACGGAATAACTGCCTCAATAGCTCAGTGTTACACTGCAAATTCAGTGGTCAATGATGCTTGGAAATTGTTCATTTATTATTACCTTATTCTTGAAAATTTTTTTACATCAACAAACGAGACAGCTTGGTGTTCCAATAGCTCATACCAATAATGAAATAAGCATATATACTCGCACGTACGAGGTCTGCCCCGTCAACGCGCGTGCTCTGTTCCCAAATGGCGTTGCTTACTTTACCTGAAAATGCTTCAACTAACGGCCCCAAGAATTGTCGGGTGATAACGTTGACTAAACTTCAAGCAACGAGTTTAACTAATTGCAGTGTTTTAGCAATAATATTTATGTTTCAGCAGGAACGGTTGTTTGCTGAAGTGTTACACAGAGATCCCGTTTTTATGACCAGAGACCCGATAATGCTTTGGTTCGCTTGACTGGTTTGCCTATTTTGCGCAAATGGCTACCACCTGCAGTAAAGCGCACAAAGTTCTTGACCAACACCTTCTTAATTGCATCACAAAATTGCTGAAAACAAACGAAAATTATTAATGGTACTATCGATGGTACTATCGATGGTACCATCGATGGTACTATCGATGGTACTACATGTACTGTGAACCGGGTAGTACTTTTCTAAACTACTTGGCTGTCTTAAAGCTAAATAGCTTCAGACTTCCACACTAGGTTAGTCACCATGAGGGTTACCGTGATTTTCCTCTTTTACTTAAAGGTAACAAAATTACAACTGTTAAACGGTCTGCAAAATTACCAAGAATTTTAAAGTAACCATCTTTCCACTAATTTATCACTAGGATACAAAACCGACACAGTTATTTTGGTAAGTTCTGTTGGATTTCGCAAAATGGGGCGGGGGCACTCAGCCTACGTATCCATGATTTTAACACTGTAAAGATGCATGTTATCTTAATTACAGGAATTATTTTCAGCGTTCCATTTTAGTGAGGGGTGGGGGTGGTAAAGTTTCTGTAGGGGAGGTCGCCCACTGCCTGGATGAGTACGGTGACGTGATTACAACTGTGGTAAGGCAAACACCGTTTCCACCCTAAGACTTGAAAACGACGGTCAAGTTACCCAGCATCCTTTAGAACTGAAACCAAAGCAGATGTTTAGTGTGTAAGCACTAACTTGTAAGTGGGCAGATTAAGGTATATTATACTGGTGTTTCTCTCACCATTTCCCACGAATGCTGATGTCCGGTTTAGCTATAATGGCTGATTTCCGATGCTCTACGGTCGAGAAATGATGGTACCGGATGTTCCCTTTGTTTGGTACATGCTTGGCTCAGAAACGGATCAGGGTCCTGTGAAAAGTCAATTTGGTGGAAACTTGTGAAAAGAAAAGGAAAGTTAACAAGGTTAGAATGCTGGTCCATTTTCAACATGCTTACGATGATACGACACGATGTACCCAACATAGCCTGCAACTGATTTTTGTCTTCATCTTTCTTTGAAATCGACATTTGGACTCCAAAGTCAAAAATAACCCATGTACATTTCACTCTCCGAATGCTACAGGTGATCAAAGGTAGGATATATTTACCGACTAACAATTTGGTTAGCCACTAAATAAGAGGAATTTCAGGTTCCTTTGTCGAAAGAAAGCAGGTGGTTATTGTCTTGGAGTAGAATATCTTAAAGGGCAGCAACCCCTAGAAAAAGAAATAAAACCTGCAAAAGTAGCGTCTGTCTAGACGGTGAGTACGTACTGTATTCCACCAAAATACAGCGGGAAATAGCTTTCCTTTTACAGAGTCGCTGTCCGTCTGTAAATTAAGGGCCCAGCGTGAATACAATATCCCGTTTGTCTGCTTTCTGGGGTCTGGCTGGGACGGAAATTCTTTCGAAGGAAAAATCCTATTGGGTGGATGGTATCAAAACCTTTTACTAATTGTTGTATTTGCTAGACTTCCACTGGCATTCTATTTTGGGTCTTGAGTTGCTGATAATTACTAGCGGGGTCTGAGTCGGTATGTACTGTCTGCTGGTTTAATGTTGTAACGCCCACTCTTACAACTTCCGTCGTTATGGTAACGGTAAACTGCCCTCTAAATGATTTGTACTGGCCAGCGATTGGAAGTGGAGATGAAAATATTTATACATATATATATATATAAATAAATACATGTAAATGGCAGATAAAGGATAAATGCCGAAAGTTATAAAAGAAAAAAAATTGCAAAATGTTGGCATGGAGGAAGGCCTATACTTTCCTTCATGCTTGAACTATAAGAGGTTTGGTCCATAGTTTGAACATGTTGTTTGATATTTGATTTTAACGAATCATTCCTCTCATAACTATCTTTGTTTTTTTTCTTTTCTTGAAATCTCAGGGTTCCGAACAACCGCGAATATTCCCTCTCCTCAGTTTCCTTGCAAAGTGCGCATGCCCAGTCCAATTAGGCAACCTTCACCTTGTGACCTTACCCAGTGCAGTCTATTTGTTTTGACAATGGTACTCTGCTGCACTTGCTCCGTACAGTTGAATTCATCTTTGTTGTAGCGGGAACCAGCTGCATCGTAGATTTGTGAGCAACAGTTACCTGCGAAAAGATGGTGGTTCTGAAGGGAATTCCGAGAATTTTGTCGCCGGAACTTCTGCATGTCCTGGCCCAAATGGGCCATGGAGACGAGATCGGTGAGTATGTTACAAAACTAGGCATTTCAATTTGTTGCTCTGAGTTCTAAAGTTCTCTGATGTGTTCGATAAGGTCCCCCACGAGAGGCTTCAGAATGTGACCTGGTCCTGGCTCTTCAATGACGATGCGGTTTAGCGTTGTTTTCACACTGCCTGCTGTCTCTATTACACACCCAAGTTTTAATTTGTGTCAAACATTTACCGGTAGTTTCTGCTATTTGGAATTTATAAACGCGTCAAGTTTCGTAATTACAGAGAACCGTAGACTATCCCCTCAGATAAAGTGGAAGAAGCATTACATGACAAAACAGCATTCACCACACATTTACCATGATGACATGTACTACAAAGAACAAGTAGTCACTAGTAGTAGTATGTTTGATTCCTCCATGTTAGCACATAGTAGGCCTACATGTACACGTACGGTAAATTATCGTTTCATACACAGATGGATATTGCTTAGATTTACTGCAGTTTCATACCTTATTGCACTTGAAAAAATAAATTGTTTGTAGTTTAAATTTGAATTATACACATGCACTGCCTTGAGCAGTTCAATGCAGCTAAGCTTGTCATGTCTAATGACATCGTATGCATTGTCATTGTGCAAACTATTAATCCTTAGCATGCATAGTTGAGACAGTCAATGCAGTGGGTAAACGGGCAATGATATATCATGTACCCAAAATTGAAATTGTGTTGCTGTTTTCTTGTAAGTCAGTGGGATCTTGGAGTTTGTGAGAAATTTGTCAGGTAAATAGGCCTATTTTTGCAGAAAAAAACTTCAGAGAAATGTGAAGAAAATCTAGTTGGGCTTAAAAAATGGTCTCAGTACTATCCTCTTGTGCACATTCCTTTGGAAAATTTAGTGATGGAGAATGTGCTGTATTTTGCCCAGAAATGATTTCTGGAGGTTCATTGAAAATGGCATATTACCTACAAGATACGTCAATGTACGTGTACATGTATTTGTACATATATGTGTTCAAACTGTTTCAAGATTTGAAAATTGGGAAAAAAATCTACTATCAAACACTACTCTCTAGTTGAGAATAGAAAAATTCTGGGGAAAATATTCAATTGATAAGATCCAGACAGATGGTACTTACATGTAAGTACACTGTATACATACGGGCAATTAGTTAGACAGTGTACATTATATGTTGGAAAAATAATTCCAAACAGATGGACAGATGATTGGCCGTTATGTCATGTTACATGTGGGTTTTATGTTATTCTCTGGTAAAAAATTGGAATAAGTCTATGCTTCAAAATATGTACATGTACTTGAAAAATGCCCAACATACGTGTATAGAGTTACAAGCTGTATTTAATTATTTCAGAAAATGCATTGCTAAGAAAGAAATAAATACCTAAGTTTAACAGTAGCTTTAGTCCTCTTATGCAGATAATAAATGTCTCACTATTGGAAGGATTGATCACTGTATTTTTTACTGACTTTGAGCCTCAATTTTGAAAACCAACCCCAAGACACAAGAGGAATTCTTAAATCACAAACATTCATAATATCAGAGCTGCTGCTGATCATGAGATGTGTTTGGTTACTACGTATCACATAAGCAGTACTACTGTACAAATAAACTATAAAATGATTGAAAGAAATTCGCTTAAGAACCATGTCTGTGCATGTAAGTTGTAACACTGGATTTATACATGTACATGTAACTGCTGTGTTGCGTACATGGACAATCTCAACAAGGTCATAATCCAGCTTTCCTTGGCAGGCATTTTTTATCTTGGAGAACATTGCAAGAAGTCTTGTCAGTTTGTCAACATGTAGTCTTGGTGTTCGACTTGGCTCGGCACATACTGCACATGTATTCCATCAGAGAGCTCTGATCTTATGAATCTACAGAACTTCTCAGTGAAATATCACCCAAGGTTTTGACCTACAGGTACAGGTATATTACACCAAATGTTCATGGTTCCCCACTCAACAACACAATGTTACCTTGTCTACATGTATATGGACATGTACATGTAGATGGAATAGTTTGGAAATCATTCCAGACAGCTACAAAGCTGCTAATTAAACTGCTCTTTGGGGGCGTTAACCCACCCCACCCCTTCTAGCTCATAGACCAGGTATACTCTGATTGTGAACATCATAGAGAATTATCCCAAGGACTTTAATCGGTATTTCATGGCTGTTTTTCTTTGGCTTTGCATGAATATGTTATATTGGGGTTTGTACCTACATGTTTAGGTTACGGCTTAGTCTGTTGATGCAAGTTGAAGTCACGAAAACTAAGACAGATGGAGGCATTTCAAAAAGTGTTTGCTCCAAGTGAGTACATGATCACCATAGGTTCATGTAAGCACATGCTACTTGTAATGTGTTGATTGTTGATTTTTGTTCAGGAGTTTGTTTACTCTTCGTAGCAGTCATAACAGATTTTTGATGCTCTCCCAAATAGACCACCCGGACCATTGGCCCGCATGGAATGTGAGTTTGTGTCTGCATAGCATGCTAATTTGAGACAATCATAATATGTAAATATTTGCTTACCAATAAACTTTGGTCCAGTTTTGGTACACATGTACATGTACTTATGGAACCCAAAACTGTAATGTGGAAATTATTTGAAACATTTCCAAGATCAATAAATCTTTGACAGTTGTTTGTGTTATTTTCAGGTCATTACAACAAACAGTTTTAAGACATCCTTTTCAGGTTTTTCCCCAATTTTGATTTTTATAAAATTGAATTAACCTACAGTTGATGAATTAAATGTGAAGTACAGTACAACGCTACTATAAAAATTATTACAGGTCCATGCAAAATGTTCTTATGTCAGTTGTCGAATATATATCTACATGTAGCAATTTTCAGTCTAATGTACATGTACCCATTTCCAGTTTTGGCATATAGTCGAACCTGTTTTCGGCCATGGACTGCCGCATGCATGTTCCTACATGAGGTTTTTGGGTCAACCTGTCCAATGCAAAACAAGCAAGTTAAGAAACTCATATCCTTTCACGTTTCTCCTTTGAGTAGTTCTCAATGGAAGTTGAATTGCAAGATGAAATAATTCCCTCAAGTTTTCCCTTGGTTTGGGAACTTTGGATGAGAAAATTTCTGTTCTGCTAAAAGAAATTGTCGAAATTGGAGAGCACCATTACCATTTGAATGGCAGCAGTACACTGTTTGGGTAATCTTGGATGAGCACCACTCACAAAAAATGTATTTGCTCCACAAGGCCAACTGTATGTTGATGCACTAGTACATGCATGTGAACTTTCTTTCATGGATGCAGTCAGATGTCCGAAAAATTGGTTAATTTGATTGCAGATTTCACCACCAGCCATGCGACCAGTATGCATCATTGTCAGATACACAGTTTAGTACAAATCGACACTGACATTGTTGATTAAAGGAAAAAGTTGTTGATTAAAAGGAAAAAAAAAGAGTTTGAAAGTATACACTTGTGTAGCGATGATCACATTATTAGCTCATTGTATTACGAATGTAAGAAGTTCATCGCTCAAACAGCAGTGGAAGTTTTATCCTGTGACACGTCATGGTGTGTCACTGAGTCGTTCTGCCTGCTAGCATCTGGGATATCATAGAAGAGAGAATTAATTCTGTCTTTAGTCATGCTCCTAGAGATGTTTACAGGATGCGTCATGGAGTCTTGGCCTAGCTGTTTCCTCAGATTACTGCATCAAATTTCTTAATATTCATGATTATGAAACAAGCATTTGTCACTGGATAAAAATAAAACATGTGTCAGGCCCTGTGCGCAAAACTGCCAGAGATGCAGTTGCCATGGTTACTTAATATGAATGAGATGGGTAGAATTTAACAAGTTGGTGATTCAGGTTGTGTTTCTGTCAGCTGTGAAGTAAAGTTGAAGGAATGTGGTATTGCGGTTGAGCTTTGCCTTCCATTTGAGGTTTACACTAAAGGGTACCTGTACATTAGGTGGCCTAATTATATTAATTAAAAATGAAGAACCTGAAATCTGTTGATTTGTTTTCATTTCTTATCATCATTCAAAAGTCATTTGAGCAACGGGTCATTTTCTGGAAATAAAGTGTTAGGTTGTAGGGAAGATATGAAAAGAGGTTTAAAAATCAAGTGATTATGATTACAGAGCATTTCAAGCATGCAGTGAACCCAACAACCCGGATGTTCTTTGACCCGGTACCACAGGGTACTTGGAACTTAGAAATACCACACCTGGATGATACGCCTATTTTCAAACTTTTTTTGTCACTGAAAGGTGAACTTTTTTATGTTGTATTTCAAAGTGCATTGGATGACTTGCAGTTAGTCTACTGCTCTTGGTGCATACATGCACATGTATATGTGTACGAAAGAAGTAATGTGTACCATGTAGATTTCTGTTATTAAGACAGATTGACCTTAAATATATAGCATGCACTAAAACTGCACCCAATTAACCCTCTGTTTGCTGTAACAGTCACAAACAGTCACAGACAATCACAAACAGTCAAAAATTCCTTCCACTTGATTTGCCACAGTATATGCGCACACAGGAGTCATTTGACTGATTTTGACTGATAGGACAACTTTTAAGTTGCTGTATCGGTTCATGTTCTTTGTCTTCCTTTGTCACTAAAAATAAATTCAAGCTCAGCTAATTCTTCTCTTGTACCCTTGAGGAAGAGGGGTGATGTCTGCCATATTCACTGTTCAGCGATACTTGTACATTTGGGTCCTTCCTTTTTGATGGCTCCAAAAAGGGACTTGTTAGGATACAGTCCACTAATTTAAGCCCCATTGAAAACAATGTAAAATCAGCACTTTTCAGGGCCCAGTAAAATGCATGCCAACATCCCTGAGATTTCTGAAACACAAATGAAATTATTGTCTGGTCACTAATCTTTCAATTTCTTTTCAATTTTTTGTAGGTTAACCAATACATTTTTAATTATTCTCACAAAACAAAATCACCCCCCCCCCAAAAGTTATTTTTCCGAAGTCCGATTGTAGCCATTTTTCAAGTGGCAAC